GAAGGATGGATGATGATTACGGTGATTATCACATGCACGGTCACAGCTCCTTCGAAATCGAAGAAGCGGGAGGGATCAGCGCAGCTCTGACCAGCTGACTCGAATATCTCATCTCGAGGAAATACAAAAATGCAATCATCCTAATCCCGCGAAAACATTGGATGCCAGCAGCATCATAGTTTCTTGCTCCCGCAGCGTTGTCCAATTTCTCCGGGAGCGATGGTTTTGTGAGATCAAGGACTCCCGTCCCAGCGCTGGGGATCCAGGCCGCATCTCTCCTGAAATCATCTGCGCGACTCGGATTCAGAGGGAACGAATCAGTGAGGAACGAATTTGTCGATCGAAATGGAATAAATCGACATCCAAAGGCAAAGCGGATCTATACGAAAATGGGCGAATCTGATCGCGGAAGATCCGTCGTAGCTCTAGGTCCCGAATCCTGAGACGCGCTTCGGGTGTCCCTCTCTGATATTTGCGCGGATGAATGGGAGTCGGACTGAGTTGTCACCCGCAGAAATACGCGGTTTCCCAATTAGAAGCTCGAATTGAATGAGAAACACCTAGTACCCACGGATTCCTCGAATATTCTCCATCCAAAAAGGCATTTGCTCATTTCATTGGTTCTCGCGCCCTCGGCCACACGATCACTCAGCGCACAATGATCATCACTTATCCACTGACCGAGACCGCATTCCTCGTTCGGCGTTTGCAAGAAGTCTCCAAGTGAACTGTGAGAGCCCTCGTGTTGTCGGTCCGACCATTCACCCACACGGAGCTGAAAGCTCGATATTCCTTGAGCTCATGAGTGAGGCTTAAGATCTCGTTTTGTGCTGTGAAGTGAGGATCTGCGGAGTTCGACAGTAAGTAGTGAATATTCCAGCTTGGGGATTCGAGGATGTATACCTGTCAAAAGTCGCTTGGTCGGTAAGGACGCTTTTGCACATCGTTCGCCGATGCGGCGCTCTCTCATCAGACTCTCTCCCGCAACGCAGGACCGGATTCATTATCCTTATTGAGATTTCTCGACAATACAAGATGCACGACAGTAGTCTTCTTATATACCTTGCCTTGACCGGAGTGACTTCGTTTGAGACCAATGCGAATCGGCTGATGGATGAGATTCTCGAGGAGACGAGTTCTCGAGTAAGTTTGCCGAAATGGGGATCTTAAGGGAATCTTCCGCCTAGACATCGATGAAGTCTGTCTTGTTCGGGGACTTCCCGAACCTCAGAAGGTCGCCCATGACGCCTCTCCATAAAGTCTCATCTACTTTTCAGCACGATATGATGAGGAGCTCCTGTATACTTCTTTCAAGAACGAAGTCTTGGCTTTCATCTTCGGCACCGACAAGTTCCATCGAGCAGAAAACTGCGTGCAAGGAGGCTCCGTCAGTATGCCGCGGATTCGATGCTCCGTTTCTCTAGGCTCGGTGTTCTTGATGACCATCGCCCTATACAAAGTTCGTCGCTCATTTTCCTCGGCTGACGCGGGGGAACAGTTCTTTCTTCTCTGGATAGAATTGGAAGAAGCACATAAATTTCGCCATTCCAGAGAAAAGAAAACGCGATCGCATTCAGACACCGCATTACGCCAGACAGTCGGATGATCATCGAGATTGACTATCATCCAGATGAACGAGCGGGGCTTCGCTGTCTTACTCTTCAATAGATAGGGATTCGGACGACACTTTTCGCAAGCGGCATGATTTGATCTGAATAGTGAGAAGTCTCACGCGGTTCGTCGGCACCTCACATACTGAAGTCGCCCGTCGACGCAACGTCTTCAGTCACGGAATCCACTCGGATGGAAAACTGCCACCAACGCGATTCGGCTTGGTGACGAGTTGGTGCACCGATCCACAATCATGGTGAATACGTAATTCACGCATCAGATTGCAAGCTGGAAACCGAAGGTCGCCGATGCGACCGCTGCACAGCGATCCTCACTACCCTCCGATTCTGGATGACATCCCGCAACCCTTCTCGATCGATTGGATTTTTCTGCGAATTCCCCCATGGATAGCTCCTGTGTAAGCTTTAGGCTATCATTGAAAGAAGGACGAGTCTACAGATCTGAGGTGCCAAACCATTGAGATCGATTACTAATCGCAAGACAAAACGTGCCTTGCAGCTTTGCGGTTGAGCTCGAAGCCCTTGCTCAAGAAGTCACCAGGAACTATCTCCAAGAGGCATACACCGAGAAGATAAGAGCTGTCACTGGTACTTACAAGATGCTCGGACGGGGAGCCGGGCGCGCCAAGGCTCAAAAAGAAAGAGTGGAAGATAGACAGGGCAGTGAGACGGGTTTATCCGAATGATGCCGCACAAGCATAGGGTCGCGAGTCTACGATTCTGTCCCCACATGATTTCGCCAACCACCGCGGTGGGATTGATACCTTGAATTGGAAAGCTCAATAAACCAACCCAGAACCGCTCCCTGGAGTAAACTTTCTGGCGGCCCGACGGGAATAGACGTGGACGAGTCTTTTCACCTCCAAATAGCGTTAAACTCGTACCGAGGACGGGGCGGATATTTCTTGGAGGAGTTCTGGCGTCGCAAGGCGGAAAACAATGTCTCGCGGCTCCGAAAGGCGCTGACACATACACTCGAGCCCAGAAGCGCCGCACAGTGGTCAAAAATCGATTTCTAGGTGGACAAAATTATTTGAACGCTTTTTTCGACTGACTCGGATCATTTGAGTTCGGAAATGAGTCCGAGAGAGTTTCTGGTCGTCATCTAGGCCCTAGAAACGAAGTTCGGGGCCCAACGGGGTCAGCATTCCACTAGTCTAGACAACACTACAGGTCGCATCCCTCATGGGTCTCCCGCTCCTCAGCGCTGAGATGGAGGACGCTGAGGATGGTCGATCTGACAGAGCTTTCACCGTTTTGGAGCCCTGACGATCACCGGAAAAGTGTAAGGAGAGATGGCCCGCGTACAATAGCTCTCCTGTGCCGTGCTGTAGTAGAGGTTGAACTCCACGTGTCTTCGACTTTACGGGTAAATCGCAGAAATTTTTCTCTGGTCGACCAGCCCCTCGCATGTATGTTGGTGCCGATGTACATGGCTTAGCTTGTACTCTCAGCTTGACGATGAATCGGAAGGGCCCTTTTTGGAACCAGCCCGCGCAATGGTGGTAGAATTTTCTCTCCTTCCGCTGACACTTCTGGAACTTTTCCATCGATCGATTTATCTGTCGGCTAAGTTGGGCTCTGAAGTCGTGTAAATCGTCTACCTTGTGTGATCTCTCAGCCCCGATCATGCGCAATCAATCCCTTTAGTGTTCATTGGAAGGAGCGGCGAGGCAGCAAGGGGTAGTTTAACGCGGCACGCGGCGATTTTGAGAGCGGTCTCCCGCTTTCGCCCATCGTGCTGGATGCTGCCCGATCTCGATATCCGACCACAGATGTCCTCAATCAGAGGAGCGTCTCCGATGGACGACTCAGAGTGATGCTCTCTGAAGGAACAAATATCCACGGGTACGATAATCTCAATGCAGAATCTGGGGATCACGATTCGAGCGATATCTCGCCCATTTACGGCTTTTCCGGGGTTTTTCGGAAAATAAGGCCCTTAGCGCAAAAAAGCGCAAAAATCGGTTATCACCTCGTGAGAGCTGAGGTTTTAACAAGCAATTTAAAAGAAAAATCAGACTGGGTACAGTGTCCAAATGCGGCCCTAAAGGTTTTGGCCATTTTTCGAAAGCCAGAGAGAAATCCATGGTTCGTATTAAGTCAAAACGCTTCCGTTCTCATGGCCCCACACGGATCCATACCTATCAAGACCTTCTCCCAACTCTTTTTGGTCACTTTTTTGCTTAAAACATTGAAAATCGAAAAAATAATTTCGTCCACCTAAAAATCAATTTTCGACCACTGTGCGCCGGGCATGTGATAGCTTCAGTATTCGGTTGCGCCGCGCATTATTCGCACCATGCGTTATGTCATCGCATGCATAGAACACCTTCAATTCCGGTTGCGACGGGGGAGAGATGTCCCGAATGTCCTTCCAATCTCCGTCAGACGCGGACTCGGCGCACGCCTGTCGCCGTATCAAGGGCGACAAACCACTCAGGAAGCTTCAGAGGCTGTGACGAACAACAAAGGGGGGCGCAGGGGAAATCGCCGGAGCTCCTCCAAAGTCTCCCGCGCCGATATCCCCCAGTAACCTGTAAATGGTCGGAATCCTTGGTCACGCTATGGTTCGCGGATATTTCGTAAGTTCTACATCCGGGCAGTCGTTAGTATTTCGTGAATCGATGGGGTCTGGATAGCAGATGAGAACTTTTTAAATTGTAGATTTCATTATCGGCCTGCGATCGGAAATCACGACGAGCTCACTTCCAAGAGTACGTCCCTACCAATCTAAGCGTTCCCGAGACGGAAAACAGAGGAGGAGAAGTTGAGAATCATTGCTGGATCCATAGAGGAAACTCGAGTTTGGTACTCCTTATCCAAGACAGCAACCCTCGCAAGAGTGGTATTCGCCTTCGGAGCGGGTATGGTTCCAGGAAACCAGAGAGCCATCGGTCACACATTTCCTCCAAACATCACCGTTCCAGAGGAAATACAACCGGATCTAGGAGCGCCCTCGACATCTCCTACAATTATTCGATAAGCCTCATTCCAAGACAAGAGATCTAATCTTATGAATTTACGATGCTTCCGTTCCGAACCACGAAACATGACGGAAGACTCGTTTTCGGTACCGACAAAAGGCTGATTTTACAGCTCGAACGATTAGTATTGCCCCCGAACAACACGGAGCCCTGCTTCCCAGAACTCGGTATGGGAATTATTACGTCACAACACGAAATGCCCGCGATGTCCCTTGCGTTCTACACCATCGGAGCTGTCCAACTTTCCCGCCTATCTTGAGAGGGATTTTGCGGCCGGAATGGTCCAAGCGCCGATTGCCGCAACCGATGTCGTTCGACCTGAAAAGTAATCCAAGTCCCATGATGCCTCGATGGATCGTTTCCTGGAAAGCTCCATAAATCCATTGTTTTGATTCTTGCGATCTATGACGAATCTGTTGATACGACGAGCCTGAGAGAACGGCCAGATGCTCCAAGATTCTCCATTTAAAGCGAAATCGCTTCGACGACTCGCACTTTGACTTCGGTTTCAGTTAAGTCAGAGTGAGTGAACGTGAATCTGAGCGGATCTCCGCCCAGAGTACTTCGAAATCCGCTGAGTCTTATTAAGGACGGAGGAGCGAAAGTTCTTGAAGCCTCGGAGCGTCACATCATAGAGGGCGAAGTTCTGATACTGGGCTGCCTGTTACAGACTCAAGATGCTTCTCCACATCATCGTGTGCGCCGTCTTGGCCGCTGGTGCCTTCGGCAACTTCACGGCTAACACTATGATGGACAACATCCTGAGAGATATGACGATACAGGTAACGCCCGGTAGTATTTGCTCAGCTAAGATCGTACTCAACAACCTTGACGAACGCTATCCATAGCATGAAGTCAAGACAAAATCGCACTGTGGCAACACAGCCGTCGGACATAATACCTGACGTCGAAATTCTGACTTGATGGGGCTCCGGGGTGCATTTTACGCCTCTCGAATCTTATCCCCTCCACTTCAGATTGGGAACACCGGACTTGACCCCACCGTCGTCAGCCCTTTCAACTTCAAGGTGAAAGCCACAGGTTAGTCGTGTGAAGTCGCGGAGCTCAAAAATCTGTGATCCCGAATCGTATCGAGCGATGACTGAGTGTTGACACACCGGAAATCCTTCCTCGCAGGTGTAACCAACCGGGACTTCAAGGCGAACTTCACTCAGGGCTCCCTCTATGGGCTCGGCCAGCTCAGGAGACAAGGAAACTGCAACTACGGAATAGCCGCTGGTGAATTGAGGATGGGATGCTATGTCACTCTGGGCTCTCTCCGTGCTTTGATGAACGCAGACGTCAAGGTAAGGAACTGTTCTGGGGGACACAATAATTGTCCCAGGAGGGATCGTCCTATCCAGACCCTGAGCTCTGCTATCGCGAGCCCTCTATCGCAGAGCTGTCCAGTTCTTCGGCTTGATTCACTAAGTTTGACGTCATTCTTTTTATTCGTTCCAGGGAGACCAAATCAGTGGGAAACTGCACAGTATCTCCACTTCGTCCAACGTCTCTCCTCAAAGTTTCCTCCTCATTGAACTGGCTGGAAGCAGAGGCTATCCGGCGAGACTCATTCCCATGATCATGCGTACGGTGACCATCAGCACCGCGGTGACGCAAGGCAAAGTTGACCTCGGCACTAGTCGGTGAGTATGAGCCAGTTCTCTAGTCGCTGCGAATTAGCTTTGTCTGCGAAACGGCCCTATGCGGATGTGTGCCTGCTAGCGGGCCTCTCTAGACCCAGAGGCTGAGATCGGGAACCTTCCGACGAGAATCCATCTGAATGGATTCTTTCCCTTCCTCAGCCACAACGAGTTCGTACGGCAGATCAACGACAACCTCGCGCGACAGGTCGCGTCGATCCTCACGGGGAAATACAGCAGCGTCTTCCACAGCGTCGCTAGCCGCTATCGTATGCCCTAGATCATTCCGAGATCGCGGGTCATCTCAACAAGATCGACCAGGCGACGGAAAGCGAAAAGAAGAATAAATCACGAAGGTACCGCATGAACTCCTTCCGCTGAAATATTCCCGGAGGACCTCTAGAATCACCCGGAGAGATTGAGGAGGGGTCCACAAATGAACTCTTATCGCGGCAGAAATGCCCGTACTGATGAGTGTTCTAATGATATGTGTACTAAGTCTATGCTGAATCTTCACTTCGGAAGGTGAACTTCGAACAACAGGTTCTCAGGATCAGAGTATCGTCCGTGTCGGAGCTCAGATGCACCTTTGGTCGATTGAGCCGGAATTTCTTAGTTCGCTCTGATTTTGGAGAAAAATTCCCCGCGATCCTGGGTTCAGAGGCTTCACCAGGAAGAGTTTCCCGCCAGAGTTTGGACGCATCCTTGTCCATCTCGCTCTGAGCGCCTCTCAATCCTCATTACCCAACTTGGTACCTTGAGATTCATACAGAGTATCCTTGCCCAGGGCATCGATGGAGTCCTGCGAAGATCGCCCGAAGGCATCACTAGCCATATTCTACCAGAAGACTCCACCGAGCATCCGCATGTGATCTCTTGGATCGTCTCCGTTTCGTGCACGGGATCTCCCCGATCGTGCCGATGCGGATGACGATCTTCCATGATCAGCCCGGTCCCGGGTCCCGGCCCGCGTATTTTGGGTGCGATTCACGCGTCGTGTATGATGATCAGCGGGCAATTATGTTACGAAGTGAGAAGCCCGGCGCGGATGCTCCGAAGAGAGAGCAGTTTTCATTCCCGGGGGAAAAATGAAACGGCAATGGGGGTGGGAGTGAGGGACGTTGAGGATTTATTAGCGCTATATTACCACGTCTCGAGCGATATCCTCCAAAGAACTCCTGTAGCGACCGTTCAATATGGAGACCAAGGTCCGAGATATTTTCTGGCGCAGTTCTGTTTCGAACTCCGAGTATCTTCCGGAGAAAGAGGAAGAATCAGGTATCACCGGAGAAACCGTCAAATCCTAGAGCAATGGCTTTGACGTATATCACTTCCCAGTCCGTCTGATCTTGACGGTCCGCCGAACGATCTCCGAAGGGTAGTCTTCCTCTTACGACTTTCGTTGAGGAAGCGGAGCTGGGCGAACCGATCAAACGGACTCTCGCTGCCCGACCCGATTTCGAGCCCAGCAGTCGGATGCTGGGCCCTCGCAGATGATCGATTCCCGAAACAGATCTCGCGATAATGTCACAGAATCAGATCTAGGTAGGCATGCAGCGCGAATCGAACGTTGGGCAGCGAAACGTAACTCTGCATTCTCAGATTAGTTCCTCGATAAACGTGACTGCAGAGTTCAGCCCTGAACGATTTGGCGAGTCCCGTGAAGATGCCTTCGGGGAATTTTCCGTGGATATCGCCTTCAGCCTTTCCAGATGCTGAGAGGAGAGAGATGTTTTCGATGATTCAGCTAAATTGACTGTTGCACAACGATCACGTACTCGCTAACAGCATCACTCACTGTTGTGCTCTCCATGGCCGGGGACGTATAGATCGAAATCATACGCGACGGTTGGGTCAAGCTCTAAACGTGAAGCCTGCGCAAAATCAAGCATCATCAGATGCGTCGTGTCCAAGATGTGTTCTAGGAATCTTTCATGCCACTGAAATCTCTGACTGTCACGAAGTACTCTTGCAAACTGAGCCGCCTGATTTCTGGCCGGAATGCCGGACCGACCCGCCTCTCTGCCCATTCCCTCCAGAACTCTGTACATGGCGTCATCCGCGTCAAACTCGGAACCCACTACGCTGAGCGCAGCGATAGCCACGAAAATAGCTGCCTCCATGGAGTTTCGTGCCATAGTCGACATTCAGCGTCCGATCTGCGGGGACGTATGTTTGGACAGCAAACGGCAGTTCACCTCGGAGAGGAATATCGATGGGCTGAGGTGCTCCCTTACTTCTCCATCCATGTGAATGGTGAATCAGCGAATTAGGATACCTAGACACCGGTGAGCAACATTCGCAGAGATTTCGCCTCCATTCATCGCAGAGATTTAAATGTTCTGGGAGCCTCCATTCGTCGCAGAGCTCCCTCCTCAGGCGGAAGATGAAAATGTCCCGCCCCTCAAGATGAGCGGGAAGAGAATCATCTGAAGCGAAATTTTGCAACCAAATTATCCGATTCGAGGATAGCTGATCTACGTCCCCAGCGAGACTTCCCCGAGCTATAAGCTCCATAAGTCCGATGGTTGATAAGGTGAACTGGGTAGAGCATCGACGTATCCCGCTATCCTAGATTTCCCGTAGGTCCGCTCCAAGAACTCCTTCTGCCTGCCTAGTTTGTTTCACAGTCGGTAGGGAAGAGTAAGTATCCGTTGAAGAGACTTCATTCTTTCTTCCGGTGTCGTCGGCTCTAAATCTGAAATGGAAAACACATGAGGTTCCGGGGAGCCCGAGTGGTCGTACCTTGTTCAGTGTATCCCGCGAAGCTATCCGATTCCGCTCTTCGGTCCGCGGAAGCAGGAATGGCTTGAGGCAGCGGGAGCTCTCAGCCCGACCTTCTGGTTCTAGACGCAACATGCTTCTCCAAACTATAGCGTGCGCCGCTTTGGCTGGCATTGCTTTCGGAAAGTCTGCAGCTGATGCCATGATGGACAACGTTCTCAAGGACATGTCAATTCAGGTAAATCGACAAGGCTTTGAAACCAATTCGGTCGTTTCTCCTCTGAAGGACCTGATCGGAAGAGCCTCTCGTACAAAGCTCAGAATACATAGAGCTCGATACTCATTAGGCGGATCTAGTCATCAGTAGATGAACCACGTCGCAACCTATAATGAAGGAAATTCGACCACCCTTTCCACAGACCGGAGATGCCGGATTGGATCCCGCCTTTCTCGACCCATTCGCGCTCAGCGTGAAAGCAGGTGCCGGATCACGTTAACCCTCATCATTCTTCATGAAGCCTGAAAACACGCTTTTCACGCTTGCCGCGTGAGAGAGTGAAGTCCGGTGCATGATCAATTCCTGAGCATGGATTGGAAAGCACAGACGCTCTCGAAAGACAGGGGGATAGTGCGATTTGCGAATCTAGAGGCGGACGCTCTCTTACGCAGGTACTCCCAAGCTGGATTTCGAGGCAAATTTCACTCAGGTCACTCTGTTCGGTCTCGGGGAGCTGGAGCGGCGCGGCAACTGCGAATACGGATTTTCCGGTGGTGACTTGAAAATGGCTTGCTATGTCTCCTTGGACCACCTTTGTGCGCTGACGCGTGCTGAAGTTAAGGTACACGACGGAGTTTTTCGCGGGTCGCCCTCAGAACAGAGCCCAAAACGTAACGAAGGAACTACATTGAAGGGACTCATTCGAAGGTTCAAGAACACTCGTTGATTCCAGGGCGACCAGAGCGACGAATTCGCGCACAGTATCTCGACTTCGTCAGATGCACCCAAGAGCTTCCTCCGAATCAAGTTCGCAGGAGGCCCCGGCACCCCGGCAAGGCTCCTTCCTATGACAATTGGTCCGATACAGCTGACCACCACGTTGACGCAAGGGAATGTCAACCTCGACCCAACCCAGTGAGCAACACATAGTGTTACAGAGGCAGTTGATGATATGCGTCCCAAAGCTCAGAAAGCTCAACAAACTACCTCTTGAGTTTCTCATCATCCTAATCACTTCTGTTTCAGCTTCTATGATTTCCAGACACTCGCCGGCAGGAAAATCGCACAAGAAGTTGTCCGAATCCTCGCGGGGAAATACAGCAGTATTCTCCAGGATGTCGCAAGCCGCTATCGTATGCCATAAACCTGTACGCGTGGCGTGGGTGGCTGACCCGGGCCCCTGTTCGGGGATAATTTAGTGTGCGCTCAATGTCGTTGCTTTATTTAATGAAATTTTCTGTCACTTCTCGGGAAGGGAGTTGTGATCAAAGGCGTGGTTCCGTTCTTCTTTGCTGGTCCTCTAAAACTTCCCGGACCGAGATAAAACGCTGATTCCTGTCTCGGCTCCGGAATCTGCTGATGAACTTCATCGTCAGTCTTCTTTAGAAACGCATCCATCCGCTGATGGTTCGAGAGAACTCTGCTTTTGATCTTCCCGGTCTTGACGAAGTTGATCGGGTCGGTGATTTTTACTCTGAACCGTTCTGTCCCAAGGTACCCATTGCTCAAGATCCCAGGCTCTCCTCCCCCGTGGGATGCTACTTATTTCTAGAGCTTCTTGCTCAAGATGAGATACTTTTTTCGTCCTTCGATGGGAAATCTCGAATTTGATGTAAAGGGGGAGGGGGGGGGGAGCGGTGAGAATTTGATCTGTCCTTCGATGCATTTCGCGTCTCTCCATGAGAATGCCAGCGGCACAATGTATGGTGTGGTCTATATGCACTCGAAGATTATTTGCGCTCGAAGTGGATGCGCTTAGAGACTACATATGTATATGCGCTCGAGGAGAATACGCTCACGACTAAATGCGTTCAATCATCGAGAAACCATACATAGATTCGGGTGTTGTTCGGCTATGAAACCAAGTCAGAGCGGTGGTGGGCGAAAATTGGGTTTAGTCATGGCTCCGAATATGCTCGCTCGCGCTCGCCTGCCATGGTCTCCGAAGCTCTGCCAGCTCGCGATCGCCTGCCATATCGATGACGCTTCGCGTCATAGTCCAGGATCCAAGGAGCAGGCCAGAGTTTGGGCTCGCTTCCGAATCGAAGGCTGCAGCCGTTGATCCTCCGGGGATCTTAGAGACCCCCGATCGATCGAGATTCCAGAGCTCCGGGAAATAATATTCACGTGATAGTTCGACCAGTCTCGGGGTTCCCTTCTGGTGGGATTCGGGTAGTTCATCGTTCGGACATCAGGAGGAAGACCAGCCCGTCGTCGATGCCATTCGGCGTGAATTTGTCTTTATTCCATGGCTAGGGCTGAGAAGTTAGTGCGATCGCGCCAAAAGCCGTGAATTTTCACGGTATTTTCGGGCGACCCTCCAGGAATACAATGAGGGGTGAAAATTGCCCGGAATTTTCGAGAAGAACGCCGTGAATGATTCCCAGCCTCATCCATGGCATATGAAGACTGACTGAGATGAGATGTAAATGGCGCACTGAGTCTCCTCGGTACTCCTAGAGATCGACGACGCGGTTGACGATGCCTTCTACGGCACGGCGGTAATGTCCGTTCAGTGTTGTCGCTAATTGCTTCGAGATTTCATCGTGGAGTGCTCTCTCGAAGTTAGAGTAGTATCTACCGAACAGTCAGAGGATTAGTCATTACGTCGACACATATTGGAACAATAAAAATCATTCCCCGGCTCTCTAGTTCGGACGAATCAGAATGGAACGGACCTCTGATTGACGAGGGACGATCCTCCTTTCACGACTCTTGTTGTTAGCGCGAAGGTGGGAGGGGTGATCACGTTGACTCTCACGCGCCCGTTTGTTCGTTCGATTGCAATGAGAGCGAGGACATTGGATCCAACACTGGATTCCGTGGAAATGAAAGCCTTCGCGGGATATCCATCCACCTGGAATCGCGAGCATGCTCACGTTGAAGAATGGGAGTTTGGCGCGCAGATAGATAGCCATTTCTCGCGAAATCCCGATGCGTCATATCCCTGAATCAGATTACCGCTAATAAGGCATTCATCGCGAACTTAATCTCGGACAGGGAAACGTAGCACTTCATTTTCAACTTAGATCCCCGAACAAGGTGACTGCAGCGTTCAGCCCTGGAGATACTGCCGAGACCAGTGAATATTGCTTCGGGAAAACTAGTCGAGATTTCTCCCTCCGTGCCTGAGAACAGTGTATAGGAAAAGGACATTTATTCGACTGAGCCACCTCGCTAGGATGCCTTTCTTGAAGGGGCATCGACAATCCTGTTAGCTCACCGGAGCCCTTGGCGTGGAGCTTGAATTTGGGTGCTGTGATCGGGTCGAGCCCTAGACGTGAGGCCTGCGAAGGAAAGAACTCTCGTAAGCTTACGATTCCCAGAATGAACGGGTGAAAACCTAACTGCTGGTATTGAGAGAACCCCTCTGAGTGACTGTGGGGCATTCATGGGTGAGAATTAAAAAAAACAAGGAGACTGACCTCATGACCCATCTCCGTCAGGATTCGGTCCACCATAACGTTTGCGTCGAACGCGGAGGCGGCAGAACCCGGGGCCGCAAAGGCAAACAGAGCAGCTACTTTCATTAGACTTCGTGCCATCGTCGCGAGACTTTTTGATCTAAAATTGTGCAAGTGGAGAAATTACATGTCGCGCATGAGGCGAGTTGGAGCTCCTCCATCTCTGTGGAAGAATCGGTGGAACGGAAGGTTTTGGGCAGGTTCCCCAGGATGATACTCACGTCAGAGCTGAATTTGCATTAATGGCATTAATTGAAGTCCAGTTTCGGAGGCGACTCTCTTACAGAACGGCGACGCTGCCCGGATTTCAACTTGAGTGCGCCCAATCGTAAGTCTCTTGGATTTTCCGAGAGCCTTTCGGTGATTAAATCGAATCCCCGGCAGGGATTGCCGAGAACTCTAAGCTGCGTCTAAGCCCCTCGCGTGAAAATATCGATGATTCCGCGGCCCCCTCTCTCAGCTCGCGATTATCCGGCGGCTGAGAAAAAGCGTTCCTTCAGGAATTTCCCATTATCGGACCCAAAGCCTGCGAAATTCCTCGGGAGATGGAGGTGGGCCTCACTAGTGCTGTTCACCATTCTAGTCTGGAGAACCTCCAAAGCTCTGCGAGGGCGATTGTCAATGTCACTGTCGAGTGATCAATTTCTACTCTCAGCGATGTGCCGCGAATCCTGGCGGGATCTATGAGAACGTTGCGAACTCCAGAAGGAGCTAAGAAAATTTTCGAGATCTCATCCCAGGCACGTAGTTTCGAAATCATTCGAGGATCGATGACGAGCTCCCGACAGTAGTGGCGCGGCGCGGGGAGCATCGTCCACTAGGAGTAAACACTGGGAGACGGAGCTAGCTCCTCCGCCCCATGTCATGGGATGGTTGGGGCGCGTAGATTCTGCATTCGCTGCGACGAAGTTGCTCATTGTTGAGGGGAGCACGCTGCGCCGCAGATGCGATTGATTTTGTTCGAGTGGAGGGCCTATGGACCCTAAATATTGAGCCCGAGTCGAAGTCAGGGTGAGGGATAAGTGGCGAGTTCTATTTCGAATTCCACACGCTCAGTATTCGAATGCCCTTGGAAGCGACTAGCAGGCCGACGGTGGCGGAAATTCGGGCCCCGGACTCCTATTCTATTCAAAGCCTTACGTAGGGCGAATCTTCGTCTCGTCGCCGAGTCTGTAAGTCGAAAGCCTTTGCCGATTGGGAGATCGGGTGGAACAGACGATGATTGAGCATTGGAACGAGCATTGAATCGGCATAACGCCTAGGGAAAGGGGTCCGATACGGCGCAACGGTCTCTCAGACACACAGATTTTCGGCGTCCCTGATCCAGCGCATATATCGCAGAAACTTGTAGGCTGGAACGCGCGAAAGGGGTCTTCCGAAGGGGAAAATAATGCCATGCATCTCTCGTTGGTTCCCATCCGAGGTTCCTCGTCGACGCCCTTAGTGCGATGCGATTTTCATTCAGCATCTCGATTGTCGTCACTCATGTGAGAGAATCTGACCTTCGTTGTAGGGTGGGCCGAATTGGAGGGAGCGCTCGCGAGTCTTCGGAGTCGCGGCTCATACCCGGTCGGATTTTGGAGAAGAGACGAAACGGCCATCCAAGATCCCTAACTTCCCGAGATTTGTCACACGGAATACCCGTGATTATCCTCTGGATCTCTCTACATGGGTAGTGCTTCACAACTACTCTATGGAGATAAGACATCTACAGATGTCTTACTCATGGGGTCGGTCGCATTGGGTCGCATCATGATGGTTTGCTTCCAGAACGCTTCGACCCCGGACCGATTCATGATGTCATGATGTCAAATTCGGGGTAATGGATCTGATGTGCTTCGAGCCCGATGGTCCCGAAGGATGAACGCGGTACTCCGGCGATGATCAGGTGACGCTACGGAAGTCGGACTTTGCCAGACGTCTTCAATGTTCTTGTTCGGATCGGCCTCACTCAGTTTGAAACACGATGCTATCCTTCCGGAACTTCCACGCCTAGAAACAGCTCAACGCATGATGTCACGATCGAGAAAATCGGTCGGATGTACTTTAGAGCACGATAATCCCGAGATATGAAGCCGCTGATTCGGGAGCCCCTATATATAGCTGGCTAGCGCAACCAAGCTTCACTCCGCGTCTAAAGCAGTCGACCCAAGCGTATGTATTCCTCGATCCGTAAGGCCTCCCTTTGAGCTGATCAAAGTTCTGATCCGCCCTCTTTGTTTCGTGAGATCGGGCGAATGGAAGCAGTTGAAATCCTTTGAGGGAGTTTTGTCTCACAGATTCAAAATGTTGCTCCGCGTCATCACCTGCACCGCTCTCGTCGGAACCGCCTTAGGTGACTCGGCGGCCAACATGATGATGGACCGCATCCTCAAAGATTTATGGACTGAGGTATCACCCGAAAGATCTAATCTGTGTCGGAAGCTTGATTTTTGTCACGGGCGTCAATGATTTATGGTGACTCATGGTGCTGATCGCTCCGAGATCTCTAGTCATCGAAGACGGTCTCCTTTTCCCCAGATTGAGCACGCTGGATTGCAGCCGACCGCTCTCAGCCCATTTAATCTCAGAGTGAAAGCCAGTGGTGAGTCCCATTTGTCCCGAACACCTTGAAGGTTATTCCGATTGCTAAATACCGCGAGCCTTGACGCCAACGTTCGCCCTCACAGATGACACCCAAAAGGACTTCAAGGCCAACTTCACCCAGGGCTCACTCCACGGTCTCCGTCTGTTGGAGCGACACGGAAACTGTGAACACGGATTCTTCAGGGTCGCCTGCTATGTCTCATTGGGATCACTTCGCGCTGTGGTGAATGCTGACGTGGAGGTATAGCATAACTAAGCTCCTGGGAGGTCTACCCCTGATCGATCCCTCATGAGGACTTTGCTATCGCTATAGTGCGCAAGCCAAGAGATGATACCGTTCACTCGTGACTTAATTTTGGTTCAAGGGTGACCTGAATGGCGAGAAGCCGCACAGCATCTCGATTTCGTCCAAGGTTCACCAGAGCTTCCTCAGAATCAAGTTCTACGGAGGGAAAGGCAGTCCGGCGCAGCTAATTCCCCTGACTGTGGGTCCAATCGATCTTGTATCCAAGGTTGAACAAGGCAAAATTGACATCGAGCGCCGCCGGTAATTAACATCCGGGGCTATGCCCATTTTCGATCTACAGTCTTGCGCTGATCGGAACTCCGAAACGATATTCCCTTTTCATCGGCCCTATCTACCTTCTCAGCTTCTATGACTTCGAGGAACAGACCGAAAGGAACGTCGCTCGACAGATCTCGTCGATCCTCAGCGGAAGATTCAGCGCTGTCCTCCACACTGTTGCCAGCCGCCACTTGATGCCCTGATTCCAGCTCCGCTCTTTCTCCAGTCCTCGTCGGAACTTAAACGATGCGACTTGACCAGGGAAATAATAAATGACGAAGGTCATTCGAAACTTTGCCTTTCAAATGCCTCTAGCACATGGAGTTCAGGGGGAAAGGATTGTTCGCTTGCCGAGGGCGGAAGGGCGGAAGCCGATCTGCAATGCACCTAGCGTCGATGGGGAATCCTATATGAATCTACGGATCCCAACAGGCGGTTGCGATCCGTGCCAGACCTAGCCCGGGGGATCAGGCCGGAATGCGAAATACGGATGGCACATACAGCTGAGAAGACCGACGAAGGAATGGAAGACTCTTTTCGGTCGAAACGATCCTCTACGGGTTCCGCTCCGGGGGGAACGGCAACAAAATCATTCTCCGATCCCTCGGGTGGATCGGGTATTGTAGTCTGCATTGATTCCGTCGGTGAGATGGGCTGAAGGCTCCTGATTCCGCGTGGCCTCCCAGACTCGTGTATCCTGCGAATTGAGCCTGCTCTGCAATGATGCACTCACTGTAACGAGGTTACGATAGAGAAAAAGTGCGATGGTCGCGGAGAGCAATCGCATGTGGACAACACCGTCTTCCACAGTCCCGTGTTTGGAGGCTTGAGAATGAATTACATGAATTGCGGAGTATGATTTATCGTAGAGAAGAACTGGAGTGTTTTTCTACTTGTCAAGAGGGTATTGACTCTCATAGACAGTCGAGTTCCCCATGAAGTCCTTTGGCGGAAGAATTCGGGGAGTTGAGTCGACGGTTTTTTGGGGAAGAGGTCGCAAAACCCGATCCGACCGAGGATGTGCTGCGGGAATTAGCTCTGGAATAGAGCTTCTGATATTGTACGGCTCGGTCGAAGGACGCTCGATCCAGGAAGAACAAAATGCGTTTCATGCCGTGCGGATCGATGGACGGTCCCTTCTCAATCATTCGCATGGCGAAAGAACATCCATAGTCAGGGGAACACCTCTGTCGTTGTATCGCGAAGATGAAAAGTAGCGACGGGCTCGAGCTTGGATGTTCTTCACAAATTCTTGGGATTTCGTTTGCGTGGTGGTTTTGATCTTTCAACGAGTTTCGTGAACTTTTGAAGCTTCCGAAACGTCCCCATACAACGTCAACTACCTCCAGAAACTCCGCAGGATATGCAGAGCTCTGTGTTCTTAATATTCATCGGATAGGGCGAGAATGACTTCCCCTTTCGCTTTGTATGTTATCCCGAAACACAATAAGTCTATCGATTTCCTCCGGGAGCTGCTCCACACGCATGTATATCTTGCGGGCGATCTCTTATCCTGGAACGCGATGACAAAGAGATCGTTATCCCCTGGGAACGTGACGTGTTGTCCGATAAGGGGAGCGCGATCGATAAATTTGATCTCACGAGCGGATTTGGCCATGGTGGTGCATCCGCTCTGATAGCAATCCTGATGGACTTGCGCGCTTTGAAGTACCATTTCGCATTAGTTGCATGAGTTCCCCCAGAGAGTCACTCCAAGAGTTAGCGCGGGGTCAAACAGCGCTCTTTCACCTTGGCTGGCGCTTACGCCAATTGGGCGATAGAAGTTCAACACTTCTCGGAAATGGCATTCAGCTGTGAGTACCGTCCCATGTTCTCCCCACACAAAATCCATTTCCCGGGGAGGCACAGCCTCCGCCGATGCCACGAGGCATGCCATCTCTTCAGCTCAGGCGAGTTTTCTGTGAGCTCGTTGGGAGGTTCGTGTCCGAAGGGGACGGATGCCATCACTGATGCATGGAGGGAGGGAGGGGGAGGGGTTCTGAGCATCACGTGGCCTTATATGAAGTGTACGAGGCAGAGCCTCCTTCGTGAAGCTCCCCCTCAGAGACAGCGCGGGCTGCTCTCCAGGCTCGCAGGCTGTTAATCAAGTCGGCTCTCCCAATATGGAGCGGTTTCAACGAGATCTTCATACGACATGTTATCGGCGGCTGTACGTTGAGGATCCGAGAGGGAAGGCTTGCTTTCCCGAGGGCGCTCAGAGCGTTACGGTCGAGCTTATCGGTCCTGGGTGTATCGCACCTCCAACTCAGCTTCTTCTCAGACAATACACCCTCCGGTTCGGCTTAACCAGCGAGCCATGAGGTCGCAAACACTATTCCAACGTCTTTCCCGAAAAGGCGGTGCTAATTTCAGCCTAAAGGATGAAGATGCCGCCCACCCCGACTTGGGAACAAGGGCCAGCTGGGGAATATCTATCTGTTGAGGGCTCACTAGACAAGGTTGGGGTGTCGCAATCCGTAGGGAACTGGATATACGGGATGGGAGGATGGGAGTAAGCGAGAGTGGCGGAGCCCAAACCGCATCTTTCTCGTAACTCATTATAATCACGCTTGACATCGTTGTCCTGGCTGAGGATAATGTTCGAGACACCCCCTGTATATCCGAGCATGACTACAGATCCTTGATCGTCCGGGAGGCGAGCGATGTGGAAAATCTGGCTTCCGGAAAAATACAAGCCGGCCTGGTATCCCAGCCCCTCTGAAGAGATTTCGCTACAATGTGATTATCGCCAAGTTCTCTCTCGCGAGCTTTCTCTCCCCCCAATTCCGACATCGCTTTTCCGACGCGAAATCTGTCCTGAGATAAGTAAAAGCCCCCGCAGGCGACATTCGAAGAAATAGAGGCCCGGGTCACTATTTGGAGATTTACGGCGACCTCGGCTGAGGAAAAGACGGAGCAAATGAATGAGCAATGCGACCAAGAGGAATCGCGTCGGAACCTCCGCAGTCGGTTCTTGTGAACCTGGTCGTTCTAGCTTGAGCATAGCGAGGTAGAGATCTCACTCTCAATGGCGATTTCTGTTCACCTGCCGATGCCGCTTTTCATTGCAACTTCCGGATCGGGTTTCAAGGCGCTCTTTGGATGGTTCATTATCTCCCTCAGCGTGATTCGACGCGTTAATTCTAGGATATCGCATCTCAGAAAAATCATAGCGTTCGCGCTGAATTCACTGTCGTCCACCTGACCACTGGCGAGCCTTGATACCTCGACGCCATCGCCAACGATTTCTCGTACAAACGCCATTCAATCAGGGAGGAAGGCGAGTCTCTGGAGATTGTGCCGCAGTGGCACACTGTAGAGATCACTGGATCCGAGCACATTATACCACTTATCTCAAGCCGCGATTCGCAGAGAATCGGGAGCGGGAGGCTTCAACATTCTAGGAGCGCACTCCCAGAACCAAGCGGCCCGTCGAAAGGAGCTTCTCGACCTTCTACCTCATGTCGTTCGTGACGGATGGATGCGCCGCATGAACAACCATCGATGACGTTTCGCAAGAATCCATCTTTATTTCATGATAGGTGATCACGGACATGAGATATAGATGGCGAATGGAGCCTTCTCGGTCCATCTAGAGATCCAAGGTGCGACCCGCGATATATTCCATGTCGTAACGGTACCGGTCGTCCAGTATAGTCACAAGTTGCTTAGAGATCTCAGCATGAAGCTCCCTCTCGAAGTCCGAGTACCTACGGAGCAGGCATCGGATCAGGTATCACGGCGACAAGTATTGGAACAATCGGAATCATATCCTCGCATTCTAGATCGAATAGATCGGAAAAACGAACCTCAAGTCTTCAAAAGGCAATTCTCCTCGCACGACTTTTGTTGTCAGCGCGAAAGTGGGAGGCTTGATCACATTGACTGTCACGCGTCCATTTGTTCGTTCAATTCCAATGAGCGCGAGAACATCGGATCCCACACTGGATTCCGTGGTAATGAGATCCTTCGCGGGAGGTCCGTCCACCTGGAATTCCGAGCATGCTCACGTTTCAGAAACGGAGTTCGGCGCGCCGATAACCCGAATCGGCTCGATAGACGATTCCCGCGGAATTCCAAAGAGTCATGTCCCTGAATCAGATTACCGCTAATGATGCATGCATCGCGAATTTGATCTCGGACAAAGAAACGTAGCACTTCATTTTCAAGTTAGATCCCCGAACAAGGTGACTGCAGCGTTCAGCCCTGGTGATACTTCCGAGACCAGTGAATACCGCTTCGGGAAAATGAGCCTTGATTTCGCCTCCCAAGCCTGGAAACATAGGACGATTTAGAACACGGAGATCGATTCTCGATTCACACAGCCAGCATGACTTTCTTGAACGGGCATCGGCCATTCCGCTCGCTTACCCGAACCCTTGACGGTGAGCTCGAATCTGTACGCCCTGATCGGGTCGAGCTCCAGACGTGAGGCCTGCGCAGAATGAAACTCACGTAAACTTACGGTTCGCAGAATAAATGAGCGGAACCCCGCTCCTGGGTTTGAGAGCTACCCTCTGAGCGACTGTGGAGCATTCATGGGTCAGAATTGAGAAAGCCGAGGGAACTGACCTCATGACCCATCTCCGTCAAAATTCTGTCCATCATGTCGTTCGCGTCGAACACGGAGGCCGCGGAACCGATCGCCGCGAGGGCAAGCAAAGCAGCGACTTTCATCGGAGTTCGTGTCATCTTCGCGAGACTTTTGGATCTGGAATTGTTCGACTAGAGAAATCACCGCGAATCGGAGCTCCTTCACCCCTGTTGAAGAATTCGCCGGAAAGGGAGGAGGGGGGGCGGGGTCTTCGGCATAATACTCACGACAATGCTGATTTCTGATTTCGCATCAATGGAACGAATGGAAGTGCAGCGTCGGGGCCGACTCTTTAAAGGGAAAGTGACGTCACCTGGATTATAATTCAAATGGGCTTATGCCCGACGGCTTTCACGGGACGGCGAACGACGACTCAACGCGGACAATCCGGCTCATACGATGCTTCGGCGCGACGGTAGATTCTGCGCTGATTGGTGGAGCTTCGGAAGATCATCGGTGCCTGCGAAATCGTCTAGGAAATCCTCGGAGAGGGGAAAGCACTTAGATCTCAGGTCAGGCCCCTTGACATTAGTTCAACATCATGTTTCTCACAAACAAAGATGTCATCAGGGGTAGGAGGTGAATGACGGTTTTATTGAGACTGACGTGAACTCTAGTTTATCATTTCCTCCACAAACAAGGATATGATTTTCCGGGAAACGGGGCAGCGTGACCACAGCTGTGTGCAACCGAGCATCGTCGCTTCAATCTTCGAACTCACAGGGTCGATACTGCGCTGTGTCCGACGAGTTCTTCCAGTCCTGAGTGTATCCTGGATTCTCTTCGAGGTTTCATTCGTCTCTAGAGAGGCCGAGAAAGATATGTTTTGGTAGACCTAGAAATCGTTCGCTATTCGAAGCAGATTTTGACAAAAAAAAAGATTCGTTACCCGCAACGTTCGCTAATCGAGGCTTTCATTATTCGAGGTCTCACTTTATACTGACTTGTGTCCCAGGTAGTGTCCCCGCGCTCACGCTTTTCGCGTTCTTTTTCGACGATCCCCGAGCTTTCGGAATTCGTCGGAGCGTCCATCGCTGATTGCCAACGGAGAAGGCATCGGGAGTCGAGAGAAATGGGTGGAAGGTAGTAGAAGTCGGGGAGAAAAGACTCGAGTTTCCGTTTGACGGATTCGACTCATATTTTTTTTCGCTGAGGACGGACCCTCGATTCGGTTCCGGGAGGTGATCAGAGCAATGGGGCTGCGCGATCCGAGGAAGGCTGAGAAATACCGAGCTCGGACGGTACGGAGCAACGCCCTGCGATAGGTATGGGCCAAGGCCTTCTCAGTGTTCAGCTACGAGTGTACTGCTCGTATGTGAGGGACCCACCTCCTTCCACCGTTCCCCACGATGAGGATAGAGCGAGGTCTCTTTCGAGCGCAAACACCGCGGGTTCCACGGCAAATATACGAGGGAATAGTGTTTCGTAGCCCTCCCCGGGAATCTTCTTCAGTCTAGCAAACATGGATAGCTGATTTTGGGCCTTAGAAGCTGTCCCTCCATTGGAGACTGCCTGCATGTCCGAGACAGCTCTTCAATTAGAGAACAGTTACGCTTTTCGGGAGTGGGACCTGCAGGCAAGAGGTGCGCCTATCAGACTGGGAGGTTGACGATGTCGCTCACTCCTCATCCCTTTAGGAGTCGCGAGGTTCCCAACGTTTCTTGCGGTCGTTGGTGCCTTTGCCGCGGGAGATCTTTCAGGGGTCCCCGCCGCGATGGCCAATGTCTCACACGAATGACCGAAATTCTCTCTCGGCGATTTGCCGCGAATCCAGGCGGAGCACATGAGGACGTCCTGAATTCAGACGCTACCGATAGCATGCGCGTTAACTTCTCATTCTAAAACGAAGGTTCGAAATCATTTGAGGATTGATCACGAGTTTGAAACCGTAGCGGTACCAAATAATCATGCTCCGGCTATCAACATTGGAGGACGAAGCTGATTCCATCGCCCCCTGTTATTTTCCCCAAGTCCCCAAGTCGATTTCCATGCGCCGCCTCGCAGCTGCAGGCCATGGTGGAGTGGTCTGCTCCCAGATCCCGGCTTGAAGACGCCCGGCCTTCTGAAACGTTCCCGTTTATCAGAGACTAACCGTGCGTTGGGGATTGCGGACTGCCCGTATACTTCTTCTGTCTAGCAGCGAGAGGATTGTGCTTGGTCACTAAACCTGGTACATTATGTCCAACCGGTCGAATGAGTACCGTGAGCATGCTGAATACTCACAAAAGCGAGCCGTAAGAGAATTTTCGGACTCTCCGCGACTCGGCAATCTGAATTCTCAACCTCAATTTCCCTGGCCGTCCGACAGAGAGACTGCCCGTCTGCTTCGACAAACGGATAGATGATCGCTCCGGCCTCCACCTGGATGGGTTCTCAAGGAGTCTCAAATTTTCCGACCCCGAGGCCTCAGAGATGTGTTTTCGGGTGTGTCTCTAACAGCTGAAGAACACAAAGAGCATCGTGCGTCATTCCAAGCGATTTCCTCTGAGCAGGCTCGACTCGTTTGCCGTCATATTTTTCTACACAAGTCCTGACTCTAGAAAGGTCGGACTTCGTCAGACGTCTTCAATATTCTCGATCGGATCGGTCGCCGTCTGGAACACGACACTGTCCTCCCACATCTTTCCGGGCGTGAAAGAGCTTATCCTATGACGTCACAATCGGGAGATTCGTACAGATGTCCTTGGAGCCCGATAATCCCGAGAGATAAAGCCGATATAGAGCCTTTCGGAATTCTCTACAGAGCTGGCTTGTTCCTCAAACGTTCGCTTTGAGTCGAGGGCAGTCAGAGAGAAAATCGCGGATGTATTCCTCGATCCGAATCGGTCTTCTTTGGAGCTGATCTGGGATACGATCCGCTACCTTTGTTTTGGCGAGATCGGGCGAATGGAAACAGTTGGAATCCTTTAAGGATGTTCTGTCTCACAGATTCAAAATTTTGCTCCGCGTCATCACCTGCACCGCGCTCGTCGGAGCCGCCTCAGGTGACTCGGCGGCCAACATGATGATGGACCGCATCCTCAAAGATTTGTCGACTGAGGTATTACATTACCCGAAAGATCTTAACTGTGTCGGATCCTGAACTTTGTCACAGGCGTCAATGATTTATGGTGATCCATGGTGCTGATCGCTCCAAGATCTCTAATCATCGAAGTTGGTCTCCGTTTCCCCAGATTGAGCACACTGCGAAGGTATAGCATAACTAAGCTCCTGGGAGGTCTACCCCTGATCGATCCCTCATGGGGACTTTGCTATTGCCATGGTGCGCAAGCCATGAGATGATACCGTTCACTCGCAACTTAATTTTTGGTTCAAGGGTGACCTGAATGGCGAGGAGTCGCACAGCATCTCGATTTCGTCCAAGGTTCACGGGAGCTACCTCAAAATCAAGTTCAACGGAAGGGAAGGCAGTCCGGCACAGCTCATTTCCCTGACCGTGGGTCCAATCGATCTTGTATCCAAGGTTGAGCAAGGCAAAATTGACATCGAGCGCCGCCGGTAATTAACATCCGGGGCTATGCCCATTTTCGATCTCCAGTCTTGCACTGATCGGAACTCCGAAACGATATCCCTTTTTCATCGGCCCTATCTGCCTCCTCAGCTTCTATAACTTCGAGGAACAGACCGAGAGGAACGTCGCTCGACAAATCTCGTCGATCCTCAGCGGAAGATTCAGCGCTGTCCTACACACTGTTGCCAGCCGCCACCTGATGCCTTGATTCCAGCTCCATTCTTCAGTCCTCGTCGGAAGTTCAACGATGCAACTCAATGAGGGATTTAATAAATGACTAAGGTTATTCGAAACTTTGCCTGTTGATTCTTTGCCCGCCGAGGATGGGGTAGATCTACAAAGCCGCGAGCACCGATCGCGAATCCTTAATGAATCTATGGATCCCAAGAGGCGGTTGCGAATCCAATCCGATCCGTAGGGTTGAAATGCGAGATACGAGTGGCTCCCACAGCTTGAGAATATCGACAGAGAGACGCCATACTTGTAGAGGCGATCCTTTATGGGTTTCCTGGGGTTCGGAGGGAGGAGCACCTCGAAGTGCATTGGAGACGGCAACAAAATCATTCTCCGATCTCTCGGGTGGATCGTGTGTTGTAGTCTGCATTGACTCCGTCGGTGGTCGCGAAGAGTGATCGGATGGGGATATTATCGTGCCCCCTGAGTTTGATGCTCGGGGGGGTCGAAGATAAACCACATCACATCAGGAGGGAAATTCATCGTGGAGGAGAATTGGAGTGTTTTCCCACTCGTCGAGAGGGTATTGACTCTCATAGACAGTCGAGTGCCCCATGAGGTCCTATGGCGGAAGAATTCGGATACTTGAGACGACGGTTTTGGGGTAGAAGGTCGCAAAACCCGATTCGACCATGGGTGCGATGTGGGTTTCAGCTCTGAGAGGAGCTCCTGATATTGTTCGGTTCGGTCCAGGGAAGTGAGATCCCGGGAGAACAGGACGCGTTTAATTCCGTGCGGATCGATGGACGGTCCTTTCTCTCAATCAGTCGCATGGCGAAGGAACATCTATAGCGTGGGGAATAGCTGTGTCGCTGTATCGAGGAGATGAAAAGTAGCGGAGCGCTCAAGCCTGGATGTTCTTCACAAATTCTCGGGGCTTTGTTTGCGTGGTCGTTTTGATTCTTCAACGAGTTCCGTGCACATCTGAAGCTTCGGTAACGTCCCCATACAATGTCGACACGCTTCAGAAACTCCGCAGCATATGCAGAGCTCTGTGTTCTCAATATTCATCGGATAGGAGAATGACTTTCGTTTTCGCTTTGTATGTTACTCCGGAGTACAAAAACTCCTTCAATTTTCTCTGGGAACTGCCCCACGCGCATGTGTATCTTGCACATAGATCTCCCATCTTGAAACGGAATGACAAAGAGATTGTTATTTCTTGGGAGCGTGACGGAGTGTCTGCAAAGGAGAGCGCGATCGCTCATTGGGATCCCAGCAACGATTGTGGGCATGGGGACTGCAGCGCTATCCAAACCAGCATCTCACGCCTGAACTTGGAAAAGCGTGTCCTCATCCAAATAAGAGAAGTCCAGTCACGGCAGTTTACAGAAGAGTCTACGACGCTGAAATTCGTTACGAAAAAATTGCAACGGAAGACCTGCTTCCTTTACTTCCTACGCTCATTCGTTTTGCTCAGGAGGAAGGATACGGATATCCTCGTCGCTGCTATCATCGTGACAAGGAAATCACCTGCCTTTGGGATCGGCGTAATTCCAATCGTAGCAAGGAGCTTTTCCATGCAGAGTGTCGAGACGGTTTTTCTCTCGACTCTATCGTTTCGCAACCGCAGTGTCCATTTCTGGCTCAACTCATTCTTTCTGACTTTCTCCAGAGAGGTGCCCTATCGGCACAGGATTCACCTGAGGAGCTGTGATCGAGTGAGTATTGATCTAGAAGCAAGGTGCATAGCACCGCGACCCTTGGTTCCGCGGTCAGGAAGACAGACTGGATCCTCAGGATTTCTTTTTTCATTTCTTTCCAGGATGAGAACTTGTTCATGTTTGGATACACCTACTCGGCGCTCCGGCTTGCAGTCCCGCTGCAGTGGCATGTCCGACTCATATCCAATCTGCCGAAATACATGGCTCTGGAATTTCCTCTGACGGTCGCCTCTCTCATGTCGATTCCGATTCTGCTGTCGGTGTGCCGCCATCGATCATTGACCCGGAAAGTCGGCTCAACTTGCTTCCATCTACTCAGTGGCAACGCTTGCAACTCATTGATCCGAACCAACCGCGAGACAATCCTCGTATTACTCATCAGCGGCCTAGTATCTCTGATGATCCAGTACCCGGTGAATCTCCTGAGGGTAGAGGTGGTCTCATACCCTTATGGACGAAAGATTCAGCGGTCCAACTGCACGGTGACTTCATGTCTCTATACGGCTCATCGCAAGACATGGTTCACGCCCGCGTCGAAGGATCAAGTAATTGATGTCACGAGATTGAAAGAGGATAAGAAGCCTCAGGCCTCCGTCACCCCAGGTAACATGCGGAAGCCTTGCCCACAAAAATCCGTGTCCACTATCGGGGTTTCGGATTGGTTGAAACGTGCACTTTTGATTCAGTACCATACATTGTGCAACGAGCCAGAAATCTTACGAATGCAGCTCTCTGGTCTAAACAGCGGACTATTGTATGAAGTCATCGGCAAGTCGCTCGCAGCGCAGCCCATCTGTTCGACGGGCGTCTGCTTGGCTGGTCACGTTGCCATCAGGAGACACATGCGTTTCGTGTCACGAATCCTAGAACACGATCTATTGAAGTATCACCATCTGGAAGCTTCCCTCTTTCCTTGGGATCGCGATGAACGAAGATTCTTCGGCGGGAAGGGCGATGTTCATCATGCGATTCCCATAAAGAGGAAGATAAACGCTACGATTAAGATTCTCAGCGGGAAATACCGCAAGTTTCGCATGTGCGATGATCGAGAGAGTATCGACGCATTAGGACTCGGACAAACGAAAGAAATATTTCTCATCTTTTTCAGTACTCTGGTCATTTCGGCCATTGGTGTCGTGGCCATGTCGATGATTAGAAAAATACACTCTCTTGCAGCGGACGGAATACGCCGATACAGGAACGACAAGGGGATCGATAACGAGTCCCTCGTGAACGAGGTGTGAGCGATGAGTGTGCGAGGAGAGCAGAACCGAGGCGTCGGCTCTGCGACGGATACGTCGCGAGTCGCGACGTATCGGGGAATCCATTCGCTTCCCCGTGCAAAAAAAATGAATGAGGGAGCCCTCTCTTCACTCCTCGTATCATGTATATGATCTTCACCGGATTCCTAGCTCGGGAGAGGATTCGACAAGAGGGCGACTAGCGAATTCACATCGAGGCGGATTAGTTGCGAGCCGATGGGGAGGAGAGGAGGTCGTCTCGTCCGCTCAAGTCGCGTGCCCCCCTCGCCTCCCCTCCGACGCGCAACGATTAGATCGATGTCGATACGATCTATGATTGCTCAGGGAGACTTCGACGCAAACAAAGTTCACCTCTAGAGCACGGGAGATGATGCGATGGAAAAACTCCATCATCAAAGAGGGCGCTCCACTTTTGCGGTTATTGCGTCGAATGGGGGAGAAATGACGAGGTTGGTTGTAGGCCGGGAAGCAATCCAGGCTGTAGTCGAGAATGCCGCTCCTAGACAGCGAGGTCGATGAGAAATCGATTGTACACTGGCGGAAGCTTCTCCCGTCTGACGAAAAATCGAAAGCTCGTGATCTTGGATTCTGACGATCATCATAATTGTCACCCTGTTCCGACGTCCGCTAGAAGACAAGGAGAATGCGAATCTATACATTGACTTTTCATCATCAATAAAATATATCCGTTGGAAGAGGTCTTTCTCCGAAACAGGAGAGAGGGTTTTTCTTCCGAGAAATCTGCCTGATGGAATACTACTCAACTAGTTTTTCCCGGTGAATGTTTTCCTTCGTTAAATACCGGATTTCAAATAACTTCTTCAGCAGGAACCATCGCTCCGAGTATCGATAACTATAATTCGTGGAAAGCTCCGTACAAGACTGATCAGCTCGAACGAATCAGAATTCGGAAGACAAGCTGTGACGGTCGGACGCTTCGGGTGACTGAGGCAAGCAGGGATCGTGAGATGCCACAGCTTGGGACACAACTCAATGAGCGCATTCTGGATGGGTCTCACTCAGAAAATATTCACTCGGGTCGAACCTATTGTAAGAGAAATGGTTGAGCCCTCGTTCTTTAATGGATATACACAATAATTAATCCCGTCTTTTCCCGCACTCCTCACGAACTCGATCGACGGTATCGGAGGCCATCGGAGCCGACTACTCCAATTGATTTACTTCCGCCGCCTTTTTAAACAGACAAGAGAACAACCACGGACAGGATTAAGGCGCTAGCCGTGATGACGATTTTTACGGCGCCGATTCCCGCAATCACAGAGTAACTTTGCGATAAACGCTCCTTCAAGACCACGTAACAGTCCTGCAAGAGAATTCACTCGCTTTCAGAAGAAAATCCGTTAGACATCCCGCTCCCACCCCACCTCGCTCAATACTTAGATAAGCATAGTCTTGCGAACAGCATTTATGCTCTCCCCGCCCCTGCATTTGTGCATCGTTGAATGAACTCACGGCTTTGTGAATGAAGTTCCGGGAGCCCCCCAGACACTTCTGCATATTTATCTTCGGAAGGTCGGGGAGACAGCACGATTCGGGCACCAGAGAAGTCATGTTCGCCCGAGCGAACGCCAGGTGCGGCGCTACCATAGAATTTGACGACGGTCGCATGCCGCAACATTCATTCTGCAAGAATTGTTCCCCCGGGTCTAGATCCTCGAGTATGTACACAGGCGATGCTGACCAGACCTTAACCTTAATATGGATAAATATGTGCGAGAGCTCCTACTTTTCTCTGAAACACGTCCCACGCTCGGGTCACGACCTTGCTGCTGTTGTAGACTTTCAGACTTTCATAGAGGGCCATCTCTGTGTATTTCGACGTCGCTTCGATTTGTGTGGCAGTGTATGCCAACGTTCCAACTTCGCCAATCAGAAAGATGAGCATCAGCGTGGAGTACTGAAATACGTGAGGGGTCCGCCCCCGATATAGGATTGGCGGACTCAGGAGAATACAGAAATTCCAAGACATACGGAGGGATTGCAGAACACGGAGTCCCGGTTGGCTTACGATTTTCAGAAGAAAAGCGTTCTCATTGATTGCACCTACAGCGCCTAGAAGAGTGATCAGAATGACCATGACACCGACACCGATCACCGCTCCGAAGGAGATCTCGTAGGTGTTCTGACCGAAACTGTCCACCAAGGTGGTTTTTTCACTTGCGGTCAAATAGATGACGGAACCGACGAGGACTATCTCGCATAATAGCACGACGGCGTTCACTACCGTCAGTACAAGTTTCAAACAAGTGATTCCCGATCGCTTCTTGCTCGAATCTTGCATGACGGTGCACAGCGTAGCCCCGAAGCTCAAGCCTAGGCAAGGGATCCGTCGAAGCGCGAGGTGAGCCGACTATCGGAAGCTCAAACGCTGTGCCGAGCGACAGCAAGAGAGACTTCCGTCAGATCAGAGAACGAGTTCCGAAAGGCTTGTTCAGGCGGTCACGAATTTGTGCCCATCGACGATGAGTGCTGACTAAGGAAGGGAGTTGGACATTCCCAGTAGGCACACGATCTGATCACGAGAGTAAAATTTAATACTCGCGCCTTGGGTGCTCTCGACATATGCCCGACGACCGAACTCATGCGCTTGTTATTGATCCCCGATGACCGCTATTCCCTCGACCAGACGGGGAGAACGACTTGGGCTCCCGGGCTCAGGAACATCTGATCGATTTTCTATCGAACCAGAACCACCAAGGATGACCGACAGGTGAGGAAGATTCCGCTCCTGATTCCAGGAGCTTGCTCGAGTCTCGAATGCTCCCTTCGGGGACGCACGCGATCCAACTACAGAGGACGTTTATTGCTTTGTCAGACGTTTATTCTTTTTCGTAGTCTCCTTCTCGTCCGGCTTCCGTCGCCACGCTCAATGAGTCATAGTCATGTTCCTCGACTGATTAAGAGGAGTCCTTCGCGTGGATACCATTTCTTTCTGTCTGCCGGAAAGCAGGGCTGATTCAGGTTCCCTGCTCCGAGTGCTTCTCGGATCAATCATGGCCTCGCTCTCTTCCGTTATCTCGCTCGGCCTCGGAAGGCCTCGGAAGCCCTAGAGCTCGCCAACGGACAACACTGATCCTATCGACTGATGCCTTCCCGTACCATCGTATCCGCCTTCTGTATACGAGCTATGTTCTTGGGCCTTCACGGCTACATAATGATTCGCTTATGATGAAAAATTCTCTCCTACCTATATAAAGTTGGAATTTCTATTCCGCCCCATCGTTTCCTTTCGAAGATCCTACCGACGTGCTTGTCTGCTGCGCGCGGACTGTCGAGGGCGCTCCCTCCGCTTCCCGCGAGTCGAGCGGCGCGAGGGTCCCCTGCTGACCATAGGGAACGAATCCTGTGATCTGTCTGGGGAAGTTAGCTCGATATTCTCGTCGGTCCCACTTCTTCCATTGAGTGTCGGTGGGGTTACCACGTCGTTATCGGTCATGAGAATACCGTTTTTGGAGGCTCCATCTGTCGCTGGTCCAGAGTCGACGAGGACTTGACTCATAGTTCCCGTCGAAGGCAGATTATCCGCAGCGACCGACGGCGGCGTACCGTTGCTGGGAGCTTCCGTCGTATTCTCTGTACCCGTGTCTGTGGAGCTCCTATCAGTGGAAACCATTCCGAGTTCTCCCATAGAATCCGCACCGGGACCGACGGATTGACCCTCCGATGGCGTTGGGGCAATCGTTCCATTCCCAACCGGATCTCCGGGGTTGCTCGTTGTACCGCTATTCGGAGGTCCGGTAGAGTTGGATGTCTCCGAAGCTCCGCCAACGCTCGAGTATGTGGACGTGTTTTCTGGTATTCCAGCAGAGCTTTCCGCGATTTCCGTCGAATTCCCCAAGTCTTGCTTGACCGTGCCTGTTTCTCCTTGCGAGTTTTCTCCCGCCTTGCTTTTATCCTCCTCCTTGTCCCCCGGAACCTTCTCTGAGCGTTCTGACTCGCTTCCATTTTTCGACGAGCCAGGAACGGCGCCCTCGTCATATCTCTTGATGCCTTTCGCCTCCTCTTCGACATTCTTGGAGTCGATGTCTGCATCTGCTCTGTCGTCGTCATCACCGTCCGGTGCTCGGCCACCCTTCTCCCCCGCAAGATCCTTCCTAGAACCTCCGATATTCTCATCAGGGCGTCCTGAGTCCCCCTGAAGGTCATCCGGATTCTCCTCCAGGTCACTGTCGGTACGTTCCGAATCCTTCGGGGCGTTTCCGGGACGCTCCGAATCTCTATCGTCGATTCCCGAACGCGCCCGATCTTTTCGAGAAATTCCAGAATTATTTTCAGAACGTTCGAGTTCGTTCTGAGAGGCCCCGCTCCCGGTCTTGTTACCACCAAGATTGTTCCGAGCGGTTCCGGAATATTTTTCAGAGAGTTCGGGGTCCCCTCGGAAGGCGAGATTCTCTTTTGGGGCGAATTCAGGCTCTCTCTCAGAGTTTACGAGAGCTTCCTCAGACTGTTTCCCGCGGCTCCCCGGATCTCTCTTGCTCTTTTCGGACTGTCCGGGTCGCCTCCGAGAACCTCCTTTACCTTTCTCGGCCCCTGTCCGCGAGCTCTCTCGTCGTGGGGCTTTTCTAGAATCCCTCGGAACAGTTGTCTTGCTCCCCTCTGCTCTGGGTTCTCTCCCGTCCTTATTTCTTGGACTTTTGCGATTCCTTCTAGGTCTGCCCGCGGCTTCCCTTCCTTCATTTGCGCCCTCCGGGTCTTTCTGAGGATTCTCCAGGTCTTCGTCGGAGTCGTCCTCTGCGTCATCTTCGGAGTATTGCTTCAGGCTCTCAGAATCTTCGCCGGCTCCTCCAGAGTCCTCCTCCTGAGTTCCCGGATCATTCCCCTTGTCGCCCAGGTCTACCTCAGTGGTTCTCGAGTCCTCCTGAGGGGTTCTCGTTTCAGCCCTCTCACTGCTGTCTGACGTGTCATCGGTGGTGCCCGGACTGTTCGTCGTTCCAATCATGCCTTGTGTAGTGCTGTTTGAATCACTTCCGGAGATAGAAACTCCCATTTCGGGCTCGGTCGATGGCCAACTCTCGGAAGTCGTTTCATTCGTGCTCGAGACGGTGGCGTTCCTCTGAGTGTCTTCCGGCCCAGCATCACCTGTGGAGGAAATGGCAAAATTCGGGGAGACCGTGATTGGGGGGAGGGATTCAACGAGATTATCAGGCCATGAGAAGCTCTACCTCTGCCTTCATGTTTGAGTCCAAGGTTCTTGTGGCTCGGTGTGTTATCCGAATGGTGTGCCATCTCGAATTCCTTGAAGAACGCTTCCTCTCTCACAGTCAGGAAGCGGAGCTCGTTCTCGATACGTATTTTGTAAAGATACATGAACTCTCTCAGCTTCCGACTCAGGGCATCGGATAGACTCCTCTCGAGCAGGTCTTTCCTTCGAGAAAGGTCTTCAATGCATAACTCGCATAATAACTACATAATTCGAGGATCGGGCGAGCAAACATCTCACAAGACCCATGAGTCATTCGGAGATTTGTGAATAGGAAGAGTCCTTTCGCCACTCCGATCCCTGGGGGGTTCCTCCTCGTAAGAATTCTCGAGTTCTCCCTACCGGGATCGCTTAGGCTCGGCGTGCCACAATGTCGAGATAAGTAATGACGGAGAACAACGACTCACGTATACTCATCAAACTTCAGCCGTTTCGTGACGTTCTTCACATCGAACCAGAGCTGGGGAAACGTTGCCTCCGTCAAGTACAATTTTCTATCTAAGAGTTCTCTCGCTGATAAGAGGTAGAATGAGCCTTCCTTCACTTGCACCCAAGCAGTAAAACGATCATTGCTGTACGGCAATTGCTAGAATGGAAGAAATGGAAACGATGATGTAGTTAAATCATCGAGGACTAGAGTGCTCCCAGACGGGGGCTCGAGTTTCTTTCGTCTCATAAATATTCTTGAACGCCCGGCAGTTAAGGAATCGCAGAGCGTACTCACATCAAATGTCACGAGGCCGAAAATTTTGACGGGTCGCATTTCGATATAACAGCTTATCGATCTGTTGTTTGCCGATGTTGGCCTGCAGCCATTTTTTCCCATGTTTATCTCGTTGAGACCGGATAAGGCTATGGGCTCAAACTTGAGGGTGAGCCTCTTTATGCACGGATAAGCTTTTTTCAGCGCACGGAGAAAACGAAACCGTTAGTCGAATACTCGATGGTCCTCATTTCAGAATATCGAGATCCGATTCGCAGATACAGGGGAGATCATGAATGAATCTGAGCGTCCGAGACACGGGGATCATTCTCGATTTTATCGCCGCCAAATTTCGGGTGACATGGTTGATCGTATGTATTGTTTTCGTGATCGTTGTTCGATGTCAAACGAGGGCTTCCTTACTTGAACAAATCGGCTCGGTCTTCACTTCAGTGAGTCTGTTGTGTCCATCTATGGCTAGAGATTCAGCCTTGAGAAATAATCACAGCTGGAGGGAATTCGATTCGAAGAAAAACGCGGCTGCACTTCGATCCGGAATCCACAATCACCATGAAACAGAAACTGAAGAAAACGAACGTACCCAGTTCTCGGTGTTGAACATTGCGCGATACATGACGTAGGTCAATGCCCGAGCGTCAGCATGGATGTGCTCCGGAACGAGGGCAGTCATAAGCAGCCCGAGGACGACTCTCCTGAAAATGATCGGCAGTCGAGCGCAGTCAGCGGCAAGTCAGTTGTCGATAGATGAGCATCAGCCGGGCAACTCACATTATTAAGACTTTCTCGAAACTTCCAAAGCGCTGGGGGCAATCTGACTATAGGAATGAAACAGAATATATTCCGAATCAAAGATTTCCTATGTATCGTCTAACTTACGGTCGTGTCATCTCGACTGTGTTCACGATATTTCGTGCACCGATTCGGGTCGAGTGTTATAAAATCTCTCGTATCTTGCTTCCGACGCAGAGGACACGGTCGACAGGGCTCCGACAACAAAACTCGATGATCCTCTCCTTACTAACTCCTACTCTGATTTTCGAGACTTCAATCGTGCTTATGTTTGGTATACCATTTTGAATTTGAATCACGCGGTGGACATTCTCACATGAATATGGGTCTCAAGCGTCGGAATCGGACATTGTTATGAGACTGCTCCATCGATTGGCGCATTTCTCGATTCGCGTCCATTCTCGAAGGTCAAGGACAGGGTCGAGTGCCGAGACGAGAGTGGGGCCGGAGCGATACCCGCCCTAGGAGATCACCCGGACGAAAGCAAACCGAAAAGTCGGAGTGAGACACGAATAATTGCTGGCCGATGTTGTGGGTGACAACGATACTCTCCAATCATCATCTGAAATCTGGATCGATTCATGGCTTCCATGACAAGGCGTCCCTCCACGATTTGCCATCTGTGAAATCCGGTCCGGACGATGCTCGGCCGACCCGTGACACAAGATACGCTTGTAGAGCATCTTTTGCCCAAATCAATATCCTTTATTCGAGTACATTGGAAGCAAATCAGGACCAAAATAAGTTTCGAGTAGTTCCTCCTCGGGCCTGGAGTCGATTCGCTGCCAACCTTTTCAATACTGGGAGCCACTTCGGGTCCACTTGGAGCTCCGAGCTTCCTCTATCCCAGAACTCGAATTCATGGCATCGCATGCTGAGTGACAACATTGGCGAAAAGGTGCGAGTACGCGTTGGTCAAGGTCATAGCGAGCTGGGTGGCGAGGTTTCCGTTCACTTGCTTCACGAAGTCCGTAAACCTGCAGAGAAACAGAAGACGCCGACGGTGATCATGATGAACAGTCGCTCTCCCCGACCCTCCATCTTCACGGAAGAATCCACGCGGCTGCCTCGACCGACATTTCCGACTAGCAGTAAGCAACTTTGAACATGAAATTCTCGCTACGCGAACTCACCTAGCGCTATTCAAGTCGATCTTGCCCTGAATGACGTTCGTTGTCAGGGTGATTGATGGGACGGTGATTTTATCGAGCCGCGCCGCAAATCCGCGCGTTCCTTGAACTTCTATCACAGCATAACTCCTAGGATGCACTTGCGATGAGGTGGACACCGAATGTGTCTTGTCGGAGAAGGTATCACCCTGGAGATAGTATTCCATGTAGGAGACTGATTCTCGATCGGCCACTGAGGGGGCTCTAATCGATTATGCGAAAAGCATCTGTTTGCGGAGTTGCGGCCCCCGATCCCGACGTCTAAGAGGAGCTAAGACAGCCTGGGAAGCTGAACCCGCATGTACAATGTATCCGGATCGATTCGACTAAATCTGTCGAGATAAGATTGGCCTACCTTAATGTCAGCGTTCATCATGAATTTGAAAGAGCTGAGAGCGACGTTGCAGCCGAGCTTCATTCCGTTCCCATAGGGTCCATAGGTGCAGTCTCCGAGCCGTACGATATTGCTGAGTCCGTAACCAGAGCCTTGTAGGAACTGCCCCGTACAGTCGTGATTGAAGGCTCCTGTTGATCAATTCATCGCATTCAGCTCTACGTGAATTCGAGTACGCCCTCTCTACGGGATATAAGGAGGAGGATTCCTCACCGTTTTTCCGTACGAAAACATTGAATGGATTGGCCCTCAGCGGATCCAAGCCGCCGTTTGTGACCTGTAGGCAAGAGCAATCACGTTTACGGGGAATCGGTCCGAGAATCAGCGCTGGATTGATAAAATTCTGAAATAAGAAGGGCTGCCGGGCGAGCATATAATGTAAATCCGATACTGCATCGTCCGCGGCCACGGCCCGAGCTTACCTGCACTCTCATCTCGTTCAGAATTTGATCCATGAAGTGATTTGCTATGAAGTCTCCATGTGCCACGGATGCAAGAGTAATGGTCAAGAGAGTCCACGACCACATTTTTTGAAACATCCTTGTGCGGGAAAAAGATATGTACGATTGAGAGCCCACATCTGCCTCGCTTTCTCCGGCTTACGAAGAGGAAGTTGTGCCAGGGGGCTCCCGGGTGATGGAAAGATTGCGGTGTTTGGGCTATTCTCTCGAAAAGAGCGAATCCCTCGTGTCTGGCTCGAATGGCGTCCCGAGGAGACATCCCGGTCAGAACCCCCCGATCGGTTGTGATTAGACCTTGGAAGCCATGGATCGGGGTGTTCTCCCGATCGCCGGGTCACAGCCCCTGCTTGCTGAATCATTATGTTCAGAGCATAGCCCATGACGCGCTATAGATCGTGTGATATCTACCTCTGAACAAAGGGAGCAACGTTTTGGGCGACTTTTGATTTCGACGAATACTCACGAACGGAGAACGGCTCAGCGGAGGGAGCTGCCTCACAAACTGCAAGTGTGATTGTCGATGGATCGTCAAGCAAAACAGCTCACAATAGAAGACTACCCACTCTGTGACTGGCTAGATATACCTACCCACGTATCTGTCAAGTGAGAGAAGGTCTCGAACATTCATAGCACATGTCCGCCTTTTGACAATTATGTACGAACAGATCTTACTCTTCTCCGGGTCAAAGCGCACGCGGAACTGTGGCGTCAGATGGAGGCAGCATTGAATCGGAACAATCCAATTGTTCGTATTCTCTACTCTGTTCTAGAGAAACAGGGAGACTCGGTTTCTGGAAGCATTGATTCATGTTTAAACCTCTCAGGCGTGATTCATAGACATCCGGTAAACAAAACTCGAGAGAAGGGATTCCCCGGGAGATTCGGGCGACCGCTCGGCTGATTTCCATGGACATGTATGTATGCCGTCTACCCCGGCAGTACGTAAAGTCGATGGGACAGGTGAGGGAAATCATCCTCAGTCCAGTTGGTCAGAGGACCAGAACACTTACGAGTCTGACTGTCGAACTGAGATCAGCTCTCGAGCCGCAATCTCGCTTCAGAACGGCTCCGTGGAAATGTCGCATCTGTACAAAGTTTCGAGAATCTTTGGGAAATCACGCTGCGCTCGCTGTCGCCTTCTGCCGGACGAGACACGCCATGACATGACTCACAGCTCAATGAACTCCGCTGAGAGATTCGGGTGTTCGACGTGCTCCCGAGTCGGCGGGTGCTTCCGTGAGGTAGCTCCTGCATCGACATTCATTGAATATGTCCTGGGACTCGCCGCTCTGACTAGTCGGCGATTTGAACTTGTGAATGACTCAGGAGGTCGGACAGCTCGAGGTCCCGAGATCGTAGCTTGGAGAGGCCGATCCATTCGAGGCATCGAGTCTTGATCGAGTAGATGAGTTCCCAATTGTTATGCATCAGATTTGGAGCATCCCGATTCTTTCGGTGGATTAGCGCGATTTCTCTGCGACAAAACCGGAGTATTACACATCAGATACGTTTGGTTGCAAAAATATGTATTTGGGATGTAGAATATTAGCAAGGGAAACGCTGAGCATGTAAGCCTCCGATCGGGCTGGAACTTCGGTCGTGGGACATAGTTAGTGATTCGTCAGAGAAGTTGAACCCTAGGGGGTATCTGCGTATGGGCTCTTCGAGGGTATTTGGAAAATTAACGAAAAGATACCGTCAAGCATTCCCCTTGAAGACGATGAAGAACGTTAAGCACCATGGACGAACGTGCGATGCCACGGACGGGTCCGTTGCCTTATCTTTACAATGATACGATTTCTAGCACACATCATATTCACGAACTTCCAGTGACACCAAGTAACCATTCCGCGGGAAGCTGTCGGTTCTGACCACTTTTCCGACTTATCCCCCCACCTCTCTCTCAGTCGGTTCTGTCTTATCCTTCATCAACCATCATCTACTCATTGAATTCGATCACGATTGAATCCAGTCGGAAACAAATAATTTTGAGTCAGCCGCACGCCGCGCCGCGTCTTCAGGCATTCGCGCCACCAAGAACGGCGCCGTCATTCGCGACCCCGTATCGGACTCTTCGATCTGGCCACCGAGGGCGCGACAGTCGCACTCCGTCAGCTGTCTTTCGACAGAGTCGTCAGCGGAGATAGAGTGATGTCAGAGACAGCAGAGATTACGGAAACGCAGGGGTCATATCCCGCTCGAGCCCACTTGATCGATCCCAGACTCTCAATTCCCTATCCGATCTCGCGGAGGATAGGTCAGGGTCTCGCCCCCTAGTTCTAGCTACTCCGAAAATCGGGAAGAGCGTACGGACTCGGTGTCATCCAGTGATAACTCCTTGTTGTCATCAGGAACCCATGGAGTCAATCTTGTCTGTGATCTTCTCGAGATACTTTCTTTGAAAACACGTTTTTCTCAAAAAGCCGACTTCGATTCGGCGTTCCACTAAATGCAATGCATCCTAAGGGAAATCTATGTTCGTTCGAAGGGCTCGTTCGTCGACTATGACGTAGATTGAATATGAAAACAAATGGTGATTCTACGGAGGAGATCGGCTATAGTTGGCGAGCTGGGAGACCGGGAAATGTTGGCACCGGAGAAACGTTTCCGCTACCAGCATAATAATTCAGAATCGGTGCGAAGGAGAGGCATTCGCTCTCGATAGGTAGAGGGCTCTGGGGTAGCGGATCAACCCAGTCACAGGAGGTGCGAATATGATCATGAGCTCAATATAATGAATCACTTCTTCTTTTTCACTTAATTGAAGGACGTTTTGTGCTCCTTACACTGTATGCTCTGAAGAGACAACGCTAATGATAAATTTCCACTCCAGTATTGTGCTAGGGAGGATCCTCGCCAATCGAGCATCTCCGCAACCATGGGCTTTCCAATACTCGATTCGCGGTCTCGGAGTAATCGAAGTCAAGCATCAGAAATCGACCACGGTGCATGTTGACACCGCGCGATACGAGGCACATTGGCCCTATCGAATAACTTCGTGGACGAGCTGTCGGCCTCGCAGGTGCATCAGGCGACATACGGTCGACATCAGTGATGTGCCCGAGTACTTTCGGAGAGCAGTGTCTAGCTCGAGCAGTTTCGCTCCAGAAACGAATCGATTGAGTTTCATCTACTTCCGTGTCCCCTGAGTGAGAATCCGCGAGCGCCACCATGGTTTGTGAAAGATTGACTGAACGTGCTCGGGTAGCCGCCGGGTAGACTGGGTGGACGACGGTGTCTTGCGGGCACTAGAGGCTGTCCCATTAGGTCGGTGCACTTTTGAGCAATCGTCTGAGCACTATGAAATCTGTCTCCGTTCTGCCGAAAAGTACTGTGGAAAGCAGAACGAGTCCGGGGAGTATGAGGTATGTAGATTACAAAGAAGCACAGCGAATTCCCGACCCCGGACAGGGGTCGGCGAATTCCTCCAATGTAGACGTCTGAAGAGAGCGTCCGATTCCTTGGTCCGTTTTCGAGAAAAGTCAGGTAGATGGCACTGAGAGCCGCCTAAATTACCGGCTGCGATCCCCAGCCCTCCTGGTCGACGAATGGAATGGCCTGGTACTCCGTCTTTCTGAAACGGAATACGAGCTTCTTCGGCCGGGGGCCTTAAGCTACCAGCATATCGCGAGCCACATCATTCGATGAGCCTATGGTTGCGAAGTTCTTCGAGCGGCTCGCCGAGCTCCACGACCTTTGTGGATCGGAGGTCGGTGATATATGGAACATGGACGAAACGGGGACAACTACAGTCCGAAATCCTGGCAAACTGGTAGCTTGAAATGGGCACAAAACAAGCGGCGGCTCACCTCTGCGAAGCGTGGGGCCCTTGTCACGCTCGCCCTCGTAGTTCAGGCCACAGGGGACAAAATACCGCCATTCTTCTTCTTTCATCGTGTACACTTCGGAGACCGTCAGCCCTCGTGGGCAGTGCAGGCTGTTCGAAGCCTTCAGGTACGATGAACGAGAGTACATAACTCCATGGAGTTCGCAGGTCATTTCGTGTGGCATGCGGAGCCATCACTATGAGTCGAAGCTCTCGACTTCTTCAGAGATAAGGTTGTTGTCGCTCTGTCTTCCCCACCGCCTTGCAGCCACACATTGCCACCATTGGACGGGTCCGTATACGATTTTTAGGGTAATTCGTGGGTTCGGCGATCGACGCATGGATGAAAAACCATCCAGGGGAAGCGTTCTCTATCCGAGACATTCCTGCAATGGTGTCAGTGAGTAGCCCTCCCGACAGCTGCCGAGGATCAGAACTTGAAAGCCGGATTTGTCTTCAGCGGCATCTCGTCGTTCACTCGCGAAATCTCCAACAAAAATGATTTCGCCCTCTCGTCCATGTTGGTCCGCTTCTCAGTGCATTTCGCGCGGAAAGCCCGTTTCCCAGCGGTTTCGGTTTCGATTCCATATCGTCTAGGCTTCCTCTATGTCCGACCCGAAAGGAGCAGACTGGGAGGCGACTTCAAGCTGCGCTTCGAAAGTGTTCTCAAGAAAAATGCTGACCTTCCCCGTTTAGGGACACTGACGCGAGACAAATCTAGTACATTTGGAGCTTATTGACGCGGATCACCCCAGGGTTCGACTTCCCTCTTTCGGCCTACCCTTCTCTTGAGGGTTTCGGGAGGTTGCCGTACGCTGAAGCTCGAAGCGGCTCCTAAGCTTCTTTGAAAAGCACGCTGTTCTTACCAGGAAGTATTCCTCGTCGATGTATGAATACCACCATGCACGCTCGTTGTATGACGCTCCGATGCGTTCCACTGCTTGGAGGTCTTGTGAAACGGACCAGGACATAGCCACACACACAGCGCGGGTATCCACAGCGCGGGTATCCCGTGGGATAGCGCTGGTGCGAGTTTCTACTCGGACAGAACAAGAGCGGTCGTCACCGACATCTTCTGTGGAATCGCGTCTAGCGCGATGACGTCTCTGTGCATTCTCTGCGTGCCATTTCGGCTGACCTGGGGTGGGAGCGAGATATCGTTCCATGAGCCCGGCTCAATGCTTTCTCCATTCGTTCCATGCTCAATGCGACTCCTGCCGACGCTCCCTCACCCAACATATCGGAGCATCCATCTTGTCCTGAGCGGTATCGTTCGATTTTTAGCGTAGAACCACCCCAAGTTCTGAGAGCCGCTCATGTGCGAGTCGCCTTCAACTATCTATTCATCAGTCTTGCCGCATGGGAAAGTGTTGGGATCATGGAGTGACCCATAGAGATGCATAGCCCTCTCCCTTGAGAGTGGAGAGACAAATTCCCCTTTTTCTCCGAAATAAATACAGTCTATGTTCTCACCTCGAGCGCGCGTGATCTACTAGTTAAGAAGTTATAACAGTGGCGACGAAGATTTCAAACGAACTCACGAAACCTAGTGCCGAGTGCCCGCCAGAAGAGGACTATTCAGCGAAGCACAGGATTGTGACTCGTCAAAGCTCATCACCCGAGAAAGAAAATGGCATTCAGCGCCGAGCAAGTTCAACTGATCGTGTCCGCAGCCGTAACGGAAGCCTTGAAAAACTTTCCTCGAGAACGGACCTCAACTTCGGCCCACACCATCATGGAG